ATTCTAATAAATATTTATTGATCCTAGTTTTTAGATGACATGATTTTATTTTAATTTTACTAACTAATGATTATTACAAAAAAGTTTTTATCAATATCAATTCAGATTATGAACTACTTAGATATTATTTAATTAATTTATTAATGGCTAATATTTCACAATAGACTTAACATTGATACAATCAACAACTATTAACTGTTTTAGGATTGATTTTATTACTAACAATCTCAATCTTATGTAAAAATATCATTCACTTTTAGTCTGATCGAAATAATTTTAGTTCAATAAAAAAATATCTTGAGGTTCCACTGTGCCCAACAGTTTCTCTGATTTGTTATTTTTTTTTTTTTTCGTTTTGTTTAAAGGGAACATTTAACGGGAAGGCACCTACTTTCAATGAACTGCCCAGCGAAGCGCCAGCGAGCAGGAGGCAAAATAGAGAAAAAGATTGGAAGCAAGCGGAATAATGGAACTGGCCAGTTGCCAACATGACGGCAAAAGTTGTGGGCTAGGTGCAACAAGGGGCAGCGGGTGGACAGCGGGCAGCGGGCAGCGGRCAGCGAGTGCAAAGAGGCGCTCAAATGGGGTTGTCAGTATTTAACCCAAAAGGGTGGAGGTGCTGCCTGGCTGCGCGAACTCTGCGCAGAGCCACGACCACAACAATGCATTGCCCAAGGAGCAGCGACCAACGGGAGGGGACTACCAAGGGTCGAAGGGGTGGGGGGACGGGGAGCCAGCTGCCACACGAGTAACATACGAGGCACTAACAAGAGGTGCCGAGAACCACGAGATTAGGTTCAAAGGCAGGACGCTTACCATAAAAAAAGAGAATAGAAAGTAAAAAAAAAAAAAATCCAGCTGCAGGATGTGCTGAGCTACCGCCTGGCCCCCCATTTGGCAGCAGCCACTGAAATCCAATTGAATTAGACTTTAATGGGCGCCAGAGAGAGACATCTAGCGGTGTTAATAAAAAGCAAACTCAACATTTCTAGCTGCTGCCACTTGGCGCTGCTCTCCTTTTTTTACTCTGCCTTATTCTTCTCTTTTTGGTTTTTTGCTGGTGTTTTTGTTTTGTTTTTAAAGAGCGCCAACAAAAAGCGAATTCCGATACAGTTAATGATAAGCCAGTCGCGCGCAAGCGAGACAGCTGCGTGCCGGTGCGAGCGAGACGCAAGGCTAGCGAGGGCGTTGCCAGGCATTGAGTGGAGAGCGCACTTGAGAGCGACCGAGTGTGTGTGTGAGTGTATGTGTGTGTATCCGCTCGTGAGTGCGACTCAGCAAAACTTGACGAAACATTGAGTGAGTGTGAGTGAGAGTGCGAATGTGAGTGCGAATGCGTGTGCCTATTGGAAACACAGCGAGCACTTCGAATTGGCACTCGACTTATTAGCAGCTGCCTGCGGTACCCTTCCACCCATCCCGCCCCCTTTCCCACATCGCTTGCAACACTTCAACTCGCTGATCATCCAATTGTACATTTGCTCCGCATGCCCAGCCCCAAGTGCAAGGCATGCAACGGGTTAGGGGTGGCCCACTACATTTGGCCCCTCAACTGGGTCGAGACTTTTTTCTTTCTGTCTTCTCTTTTTTCAATATATTTTTGATGCACTTGCAACTTCTTCGTTGCTGTCCCCTAGTGCCCCCTCAGTCCTCTAACCGCTGCTCGCGTGCCTAAAAATGGTTTAGGCCTCTTAGGCATTTAAATCTTTTTCAATTTCTACGCTCTTTGCGTGCAAATCGCTGCAAAATGCTAATTCCACAATGTTGGGGAAAACAATTTATGTTGGCGTCTCTAATTGTGCAACGCCCGTTGTGGCGAGGGCAGGTGCCACATGCGGCATCGCCTACGGCCTCTCGTTAAAATCAAATTAAAATATGATTTCATGTTTTGGCACTTTTCAAGTGTATCCAATTGCGTGTCGTGACACGTAACTGGAGTCCAACCAGAGCACACGCCTCATCCAATTAGCATCGAATATTATTCTAATTTTATTAAGACACAAGCAGTCAAGGGGCTTCCCCCAAGTAACGGCAAATGGGGCGTAGTGCAAGTAGGGCAGAAAATATGAAAAACTAAAATATGGAAAACACAAATGAATTTTCACTTTGCGCCCACCTTAAAGAGCAACTTCTAACTATTGGAAACTCTAACGAAAGTTTACTTAGCTTATCTCTGGGCACAGCCAATGGCAGCTTCAATATCTATATATACACACATACATATATATACGCATATATATCTCACATATCGGCCATTACTTTAAAGCTGAGCAAAGATAAGCAAACGACAAAATGTGGAGCACGACGCACTTTAATCAACCAACCAGAAAACTTTTCGACTCAAATTTTGTGTATATACATAGATACACATATTAGTATGTGTTCTTTTTTTCGGGTAGGTGGAGCTCATTTTAAAGTTATTTTTTTCTGCTAAAAAAGCGGATTTCGGCTGCAAATAGATAAGAAACCTAACGGTAAAGCAACGAACAGATGCGCCAACTACAAAACTAATAAGAAAATGTTAACAGAAACAAGTTCTTGTTGGACGCCCAACAAATCAAATGAGCGCGAGAGCCGGCCACAAAATGCACTCACAGAGAGTGAGAGAGTCGGAGAAGGAGAGTGAGTGAGCTGTTTTCGTGGTGGTGGTAGTGCGGCGGTTGGTGATGGTAGTGGTAGTTCATATTCATGCTAATGGTTGGAGAGGTAGTAGTAGTGGTACTGATGGTGGTGGTGGTGGTGAGTCCGCTGAGCAAATCAGCCAAACGCATCGAAGGTCTTGCCCCGCCACCAAAGAGAGCAGAGTGCTCGCTCTTGCCGAGCGCGAGCGCCAGTATCAGTGCGAGTGCGAGTGCGAGCGAAGATTTCCACTCAATTGCGGGCAGGCCATTGGGTCGCCGTGAGCGCGAACAGTGCAGCAATAGAGTAGACACAGTCGCCGGGGTGCAGTTGCTGTTGCTGTATATCTCTGTATCTGTGGTGGAATGAGAGAGATTTGTGTGATGTGTCGTTAGGTCGAAACGGTCGAGTCGGGTCGGGTCGTGTACCTTTTGCCACGAATGTTTTGCCAGTCAGGCTCTAAAAGGCCTTACGAGAACAGCTGAGATTTCGCTGCTCGCATGACGCGCATTTTCCACACAAGATAGAAAAATTTTTGAATTTTCTTTCAAATATATTACAATCGAAATAAATATATATGTACACATATATGAGAAAATCAAAGTGCAGCGCAAAGGCGAGCAAACAAATTAAAGATATCTTCAAAAAATTAAATCAAATGAAATTAAATATTTCAACAAGTCGCAAAAATTTTAAATCGTGTGCGTGAAATAACGAAATAAATTTTTGAAATAAAAAAATAAAGAAATATTTACAAAATATTAAAAATAAATTGAAAATTGAAAAACCACAGAAAGTGCTTTGTGTAAAATGTGCAGATCAAAAAGAAAATAATTAACAACAAAATTGAATTCGAAAAGAATTTCTTTAAAAAATATTTATGCCCAGAAAATACTCTGCCCAAAAAGTGTGAAACAAAAATATTTAGGAAAAATATTGAAAGCAATTTTTGGAAAGAAGTTGTTTTGGTGACTTTACTGCGTTTTGGGCGTGGAAAGTCCGTGCAAAGTGTATTCCAGCGGTTATTCCACGTGTTCCGATCCGGCCGCCAAAATTATTACGCACAATTCCCTGAGCGTGTACGGTGGCGGCGTCATGTGCGCCTCCCCGTCCACGGCTCCCGGCTTCTTCAACCCGCGGCCGCAGTCCGGCGCCGAGCTGTCGGCCTTCGATCTGGGCCTGTCGCGCTCCATGACGCTGGGCGTGCCGCCGCACAGTGCCTGGCATGATCCCAATTTGGGTGGCCATCTGCACGCCTCGGCCGGACCCGGCTCGCTGGCGGGCACCAACACAAGTGGGGGCGGCAACGGTGGTGGCACCACGCCCAGCAGCGTGGCCAGCCAACAGTCGTCGGGCATCAAGCAGGATCTGTCCGGCTTGACCGCCTCCACGGCGAACATCAACCAAAGCACGCATCACGTCATCAAGGAGGATCTCTCCAGCTTGCCCAGCGCCAATGGCAGCGGCTCCACGTCCGGCCATCACACAAGCGGCGGCCAGTCCGGCCACGGCTCGGTGGATCTGGTGCCCATCATCAAGGGCTCACAGTCGGCCAGCTGCCTGGGCGGCTCGGCGGGCGGCAACAACGGCGGCAGCACCACGCCCAGCTCCCAGGCCAACAGCTCCCACTCCCAGAGCAGCAACAGCGGCTCCCAGATCGACTCCAAACAGAACATCGAGTGCGTCGTCTGCGGCGACAAGAGCTCCGGCAAGCACTACGGACAATTTACCTGTGAAGGTGAGTACCCCAGCCGGGCCTAATTGTAATCGCCAGATATCCATTGACTGCCAGTCGACAGTTGATTTCAATTGTGGCTTCGCCAGCGCTGCCCCACTCCGAGTGGATCTGCAGCGATGATGACTGAACAGAAATGTTTGGGCCTCAGATAGTTTGGCTGGCAGCTCAGCTCGCAGACTCGCCAACTACTCAAAAGCGTGCTGATCTTGACAGTTACTGTGAATTATGGCAGTTTGATGAGTTGGCAATAAAATTCGGTGATGTGAGACAAGTTGGCCAGCTGCCTGAGGTGGGTGTGCAGGGAGCGAGGCTCGACGAATGACAACAGTCTCAGTTACTTTGCTAACTGTTTACGAAAACACAAGCAGTCCACACCTGGTTGTGTGCTCATGTGAGAATTCCAATTTGATTTAGCTAGTTGGTACAAAGCCCACGCTAACTGAGCTGAGCTATTGTTGCAATACGCAAAAGATACTTTTGTATCTCAGACATAGCTGATTTGGCAAGCAAACTGTGCTGCAGTTATTTGTGTATATCCTCATCTAATAGCGTGTATTTACTGTACCTGCTGCAAGTCTGAGTCAAAACCATAAATATTGCGTAAAAAGATTATTTTGTATCTTAACAACCCTTCACTATATGATCATAGAATCTGCCTTCTGCTGTAGCCAGTTACCACTGTGCCACTAATATTCTGCTTGTTGTTAGACAAAAACTTTAATTAGATGCATTTACACAATCTCAGCCATAAAGATACTTTTGCGGCTACTAAAATTACTTAACAAATAATATTATTCAAGTACAGTTACAGTTACAATTACTTAAAGTAAGATAAAGATAGTAAAAAAAAGAAAACAATTTATATATTTTTAGTTTTCACTGTATTTCCAACATCCAAGTCTAGCTCAGATACTTTTGTATCTTTTGACTAGTATCAACGCAAAGCTATCTTTGCATTAGCCAGCTTCCAGATACTTTTGTATTTAAATATCGCCTGAGAGTCCCTCGCAATCTCAGCTACTTTTGCATATGAAATTTTTCGCAGAAAATATCTCAAAAAAAGCAGCCGCCACTTGAGCTGCGTATTATGTAAGATACTTTGGGCTGGTCAAAACGCCGTTACAACACAGCAAACTTGCCGCGATCCCGCGCACGCATCTCCACTCGACTCGCTTATCGCTAGATAAAAAATAAAAACAAAAAATGAAAAAAAAAGAACGAGTGGAAAAAATTATTATTATCTAAATAAAATACGGTGCGCGCTTTTGTAGCAAGCCAAACAATTGTTGTGCAAACATGCAAATTGTGGCGGCTGTGGCCGCTAAATGAAGCGCCCACCTTTTTATTGTCTTAGACCTGGTCGAGATGCCAGTTGGCAGAGGGACTGCAAAAAGAAAGAGAGAGAGAGAGAGAGAGGGAGAGGGAGAGGGAGAGCGACGGCGGCCAGGGTGTAGGTACTTCAGCTGTGGGGCAAAAAACTGCACTCATGAGTTTAGATTAACGCTGCACGCAGCGCTGGCATTTAGTACAACAGCCAGGCTGAACTTGTCATATTCGTATCTCTTCAAATGTTCTGCTTTTAGTCAGAGAGAAATTACAGCTGCGGAGCGTATCTACATGCGCACAGTGGTTGAGCTTGGCGAAAAACTAGCAAAAGTAATGAGAACTTTTAATTTTGAGTTCTAAGAATATTGAAATTCATTATGATACAATTATAATTAAATTCAAGTTTTATAAACATAAATTTGTTTTATTATTTTAGGTTTCAGTTCTTTAAAAATTCATTCAATGAAATTCTTAAATAGATTTTCTAAAAATATTCAAGCCGAGCTTTCTTAATTAATTAATGTTTAGCTTAAGCTTAAACACACATTTATCAAGCCATCAACTGCCCTCAGCTCTTCTTATCAACGGCGCATAATAAAAAGTATCTCACAGATACATTGCGCAGCTGCAACCACTGTACTATGCATTGTAGGCGCTTTTATTATTATTAATCACCCAGCATTTTGTACGCATGCGCAGCAGCAACAACAACAACAACAACAAAGACAACTAGAATAGCAACAGCTACAACAACAACAATCAAAAAATGTGGCTCAGTGACCGCCTCGCTGCATTCTGAAGGTGTTTGCTGCCAGCCGCATGTTGCCATGCATGTAGCTAACAGATACATGTATCTGCTGTTGCTTTGGCTGTTGTTGCTGTTGTTGTTGTATATCTTTTGGGGGCGCTGCTGCTGCTCCAACTGCTGCTGATGATGTTGCCACGATAGCAATCTATTTTGTTCTATGCAAGTCTCTCAAGTCTCGCTGCGAGAATGTTTTTTGTTTTTCTTTTTTTCGAAAATAAATAGTAAAGCGCTTAGACGCATATCATTGCCAGTTATGCGTTATGTGAGCGCTCTCTTTACAGCTCACTCTCCGCTCGCCCCTCTCTCTCCCTCTCTCCCTCTCTCCTTCACTCTGTCTTGCTTTGCCTTCAAAATGCCATAATGTGCGCCGTTTGCGTCCTTTCAGCTGATTCACTTCCAAAAGCTGAGCTACACGTACTTGCAGATACTTGGCCCAACTCGTTTTCTCGCCGCTGTCTCACTTGTCTGTCTGTCGCTCTGTCTGCCTGCCAGTCTGTCTCACTGTGCTTCCCGCTCTGTCCGGTGGCAGGGCGCAGTATGTGAAATGTATTCCAAAAGGCAACCCCCTTCACGTCTCAAGATTAATTGTAGCCTATGCTTATGCGTATGTGTGCTTGTGTGTGTATCTGTGCCTTGAACCCTAACCCCTCAGTCCTTTAGGTTTGCTGTGTCCAACTTGTTTGATTTTGCACACAGCTGCTTCTTCAATTTGTAGGCGATTTTGGCATACCTTAAGCAATATCAGTTCCCCACTCAGTATTTTGTTTTTGTAACTCGGCTGGCTAACCTTTTTGGCTAAAAAGTCACGGCTCAAACTCCTGTTGAAAAATGTGCGCTGATATCAGCCGACTGATAATATTAATGATGAGTGCCTCGCTCTAATGCAACATCAACAACACACACACACACACACACACACACACACACACACACACACATACAGAGACAGCCGCACGCCTCCTGCTCCCCCATTAATATAGCTATTTGTCATGGCTATTAGTAGGCAATACTTGAGCTTTTTTTTCACAGTTGTTTCACTCTTATGGCTGCTGCAGCTTTCCAAGAACTTTGCTGAGACGTACACACCTTTTGCATTGCAAATTGTGCTGCGTTTATTTATTGCTTGAAGAGTTATCTTAGCGCCCATGTCAAAAGCTAATTAAGTTGATTTATCTGCTGCCCCACATGAAAATGACAAATAAATTTTATGAAAAATTACTGCAACATCTAAGTAGCTGGCATGCAATTAATTAAATGCCACATAAACATCAGCCAGCGCAGTGCAGAGAAAACTCTTTAAGAAAATGCAAGGAAAAGCTAGTAAATAATATAAAAATACGACAGGCTGGCGCTTGTCTAATTGTTAAGCGCGAGCGACTTGCATTAGAGCTCGCTGCGAATGTATCTCAAAGATACGAAGACACACAGATACTTTGTCAACCCAGCGCTGTGGGCCACATTAACATTTTGCGCAATGCGCAATGCGCAGGAGGCAGCGTTTGATGTCAGCCCATTTAAATAGTTTCCCACGTTCCCGCAATTAAAGCGCAGCCCAAACTCAAAAATTCATATGTGGTCAAGCGGATTCTCGTTCGTTCCTTCTGTTCGTTCGTTGTCGAAAAGTTCGTAAAAAAAAAAAAAAAAAAAAAAAACAATTTTTGATGTTGACAATGTCACAGTTTATGCTTTATGCTTGTCCAAAGTCATCATTGTGCGTTTGTATCTTGTATCTGTCCGAAGAGATCTTTTTCCTTTGCTGTTGTTGTTATTGTGTGCTGGCTGTGGGATGAGCGTTTCCTTTTGAAGAAATTTGCTGAACAACATGTGTGGCTTTTTAATTCACTTCATTATGCTGTAGGCAAATAAAGCATTTAGCACAAATTTCGTTCCATATGCAAAAGAAAAAGACGAAATAATTGTAAATTGCATTCAGCAAAAGAAAAAAAAAAAAAAAAAAAAAAAAAAAAAAAAAAAAAAA